AAAGAAGATATACAGATGGCCAACAGGCACATGAAAAGATGTTCAACATCATTAACTATCAGGGAAATGCAAATCAAAACTACAATGAGATATCACCTCGCTCCCGTCAGAATGGCTATAATTAACAAGACAGGAAACAACAAGTGTTGGAGAGGATGTGAAGAGAAGGGAACTGTCATATGCTGCTGGTGGGAGTGCAAACTGGTGCAGCCACTATGGAAAACAGTATGGAGATTCCTCAAAAAACCAAGGATAGAACTACCATAGACCTACCCAGCATTCCACTGCTGGGTATTTATCCAAAGAACATGAAAACACCAATGCATAAAGATACGTGCACCCCTGTGTTCATTGCAGCATTATTCACAATAGCCAAGACTTGGAAGCAACCTAAGTGCCCACCAAAGGATGAATGGATGAAGAAGCTGTGGTATATATACACAATGGAATATTACTCAGCCATAAGAAGTGATGAAATCCAGCCATTTGTGACAACGTGGATGGACCTTGAGGGTATTATGCAAAGCGAAATAAGTCAGAGGGAGAAAGTCAAATACCGTACGATCTCACTCATAAGTAGAAGAACAATAACAAACAAAACAGGTAGAGACAGAGATTAGATTGGTGGTTATGAGAGGGGAGGAGGGGAGGGAGCAGGGCGAAAGGGATGGTTAGGCACATATGTGCGGTGATGGATTGTAATTAGTATTTGGGTGGTGAACGTGATGTAATCAATGCAGAAATAGAAGGATAATGATGTACACCTGAAATTTATACAATGTTACAAACTGATGTTACTGCAATAAAAAAAGAATTAACAACAAAAAAAGAAATAAATAATTGCTCAACACCTCCAAAAAAAAAACAAAAAAAGATTCCACAAGTTAATGGATCGGTCCCACAAGACCTACCCCACCCCCACTTCAAATGCCAATTGCAAGTCAAGGTTGTCACCTGGGCTTCTGACTGATCAGCTCTAGATTGGAGGTTCCAATGACCCCCTCCTTGGGTTTGATTAATTTGCTAGAGCAACTCACAGAACTCAGAGAAACAATTTACTTACTAGGTCAATGGTTTTTATAAAAATGATATAAATCAGGAACAGCCAGATGGAAGGGATGTGTAGAGCCAGATATGGGAAAGAGTGCGGAGCTTCCCTGCTCTCTCCAGGAGCACCACTCTCCCCAAATCCCCACATGTTCACCAACCCAGAAACTCTGAGAATCTTGTCTTGTTGAGTTTTTATGGAGGCTTTATTACAGTATACGATTGATTAAATCATTGGCCATTGGTGATTGAACTTCATCTCCAACCCCTCTCCCCTCCTTGGATGTAAGGGTGTGGGACTGAAAATTCCAACCCTCTAATCACATGGTTGGCTCCACTGGCAACCAGCTGCCACCCTTAGGTGATCTTGGGGCTTTCCAAAAGTCACCTCATTAAGATAACAAGATACAACTTTATCACTCTCATCACGGGACATTCCAAGGTTTTTGGGAGCTCTGTGCCAGAAACAAGGATGAAGACCAAATATATATTTCTTATTATAAATCACAACATCGCAGGCTGTATGTCCCAATTTCTGAAAATCCAGCAGCTCATAAAACTTTTTCTTCAAGTCTAGAACGAAAAGGCCAAATCTGCAACCTTCTTTCTATGTTCAATGGTCTGTTTCTACCCGTCCAGATCTCTAACCCCACACTGTCCAATAGAAACATAATGTGAGCTGCATATGTCCTTTAAAATTTTTCTAGTAGCCACATTTTTAAAAGGCAAAGAGAAACAGGTAAAATTAATTTCACGAATATACTTTATTTAACCCAGTATAGCCAAGATGTCATCATTTCAACATGCAATCGATATAAAACAAATTATTCATAAAGTGAAACTGGGGGTCAACTTGCTTTAACTGTACTCAGTTGTCTGTTTGCAAAAGTGGTTAGACAATGCATTACTAAAACCCACTCTATAGATAACATCTCTAACGCTTGAATCAGCTGGTTACGGGTGCCTAAGTTTTTCAGGAACTGAGAGTTAACTCTTTGTCAAGTTCAGGCTGGTTAAGACCACTGATTCATCAACTGGGGCTGCACAGATGACTGATATGTGACCCTCTGGCATCAAGTAACTGAAAACTCCACCCTTAGATCATGGTAATGCCGCCATTTTGTGAACATGCATCCTAGGAAGAGCCATGAAGCTTGACTGCCCTTGTACAGATCAATTACCTCACTTCTCCTCACCTCCCATCATCTACTCCCACACTTCTAACCGACCTGCTCCATTATCTTATAAATATCTTTAATCCCCATTTTGAGAGGAGGTGGACTTGAGATTGGTTCTCCCATCTCCTCACTTAGCTGCCTTGTGAATTAAACCCTTTCTCTGCTGCAAACTCGTCATCTTGGTGATTGGCATAATCATGCAGTGGGCAGAACAAACCTGGTTTAGTAACAAAAGTATTTTACCTTCTTTTCTTAATGTGTTAAGTCTTTGAAATCCCGTATGCATTTTGCATGTACAGCGGATCTGCATTCAGACTGGTCTCATTTCTAGTGCTCAGTAGCCACAAGTGGCTGGTGGCTATGGTACTGGACAAGACAGGTATAACCTCTTAAGAACCAGTGCTTTACCTGGAGTAAGAGGAGATCTGAATAGCACAGACCATAAGAATCCTGGGAGTCCACGTACTGTGCTAAATTTGGAATGGATACAGATGTTTTGAGGATGATTCATTTTGAAGATGATCTAAAATGTCTACCACATCATTATACAGAAGTTTTAATTAAAGTTGGTTGTGAACTCAGAAATGCAGAAAACCTTTCCACATATTTCCTAACATCACTCCCTCAAAGTAAGATAGGCTGGAATGACCAGACACTTGAGAAATGGATTTTTCCCATATCCCTTTCACGGCAAGCGAGTTGTGTTGGAATCCTTTGCTAAATTCCAGAGGCATCTGCTTTCATAGCTAAGATCAGCCCCAGATGGTTTAAGTATGACAAATATAATCTAGGTAATTTGGATTTGTATCATCTGGAAGGGGGATGAATAGGGAATCTGCCCATGGCCCATTTGGATTATCACAGGACAAAACAAGTCCCCTGGACAAGACAAGGTCAACATCTGTTTTTCCTACCTCCTCTACAATATTTACGATGCTCCACATCACGGATACTGAGAAAACCGTTATATTTAAGTATCCGTAATATTAGGCTAAATCACATGATGTGGCCATTTTTGCAAGTCAAAAACGCTCAAGCATCAGCAAATCCAGAACCACTGCCTGTTCTTGTATGATCCACGAGCTAAGCACGGTTTTTACACTTTTCAAATGGTGAAAAAAATCAGAAGAAAAGGAATATTTCATGGCATGTGTAAATTATATGAAATTCAAATATCTATGTCTATAAATCAAGTGTCATTGGAACACAGTAATTTCCTTCAGGTCATGTAAGGTCTGTGACCACTTTTTCACTGCAACATAGAGTTGAGAAGTTAAGGCAGAGACCAAATGGTCCACAAAGCTGAGAATAGTTATTGTCTGGCCTATTCCAAAAAAGCTCGTCCACCCTTGACATAGGGTATTGGATATCACACGCTTGCTTATAAGATCTCCTTACAAATCTAGACTTAAACTCTATATGAATACTCCTATGTTTTTTTTTAAAATTACCTTGAAGATCCTAAATCCCAGAGCAGAAGGGTGGATAAATCCAGGTCACTGTAGCATTATAAGCTACAATCAAGCATGGACCCTCTTGGCAGTCAATCAGTGTAGCAGATGATTGAAGTGTCCCTTACCCTACTTTGAGGGGGTTCTACGCGTCAGATAACTTACTGCATCTCTCAGTAAGGGGGTATTTTTCTGTTGCCCATGGGGGGCAGACCAGAAATATTTGGGAGTTACACTAGGAATGGCTGTCATGTAGTGAGGGATGCAGACTGGAGAATAAATAGCCCAGACTCCTTGCCCATATAAGGCACGTTAGGTACTGCTTCTTGGAGGGTGCCCTGCAGAATTCACTGTCAGTTACCCACAGAGGTAACCCCTCATTAACACACCCTTCATTCACTCTTCTCCTTTCCCTCTCTGACACACTACTCCCTCCCTTGTGCTTCCTGGGATCCCCTCCCAAACAAACTACTTACTTCCAAGTCCTTGTTTCAGTTCTGCTTTTGGCGAGACCAACTAAGAGACTCATTATGAGGGTTTCTAGTAGGACAGGCACACACAGTAACTTCTGGAGAAAGTGCCAAATTTGGAAGAGTAACCAAAGCAAGGATACCAGGGTCAAGGGGAGAAGAGATGGGAATTCTTGTTCCACTCACCTGAGAGCAGGGGCAGGCACTTGCTTCCCATAACACTGAGATTCCAGAACAACAATCTGAGAAACGCTCTCAAGAAAGACGTGGCAAGAGTTCCTGGAATGAATAAACCCCATGAATATCAATTTCTGATGGTCACAGAGTTTAGAAGCCAGGTGTCTGGTGGATATCAAAACCCTTTCATTTCTGCCCATCTTTTGACCCAACAATTCCACTTCTAGGAAATTATCCCAAGGAAAGGATTTTGCAAGGATGATCACAGCAGAGTTGCTTATAGGAAGCAAGCTTACCATCCAACAATGGGAAACAAAGAGGCATCTGATGGAATATCCTGGTGGAATTGAAAATCCTGGTCTATTGCAATCAGCCAGATCTAGAATGTGGAAAACACCACAGGACAAACTATTCAGTTTCTTGATTCCCTCCCCCCCCCAAAAAAACCTTAAGGGGTAAAATACACATAGAGGACCTAGATTAAAAGAGACTTAGAAACATATCAACCAATTGCAATGTCTTACAGGATCCCAACTCAAACAATTTTTTAAAGGTTACAAGGCTGGAGAGGTGATGACATTAAAGAAAGAGTGTTGAAGACATTTCTCCAAATAAGATATACAGATGGCTAAAAGACACATGAAAAGATGTTCAAAATCATTAACTATCAGGGAAATGCAAATCAAAACTACAATGAGGTATCACCTCACGCCCGTCAGAATGGCTATAATTAACAAGACAAGAAACAACATGTGTTGGAGACGATGTGGCGAAAAGGAACTCTCATACACTGCTGGTGGGGGTGCAAACTGGTGCAGCCACTATGGAAAACAGTATGGAGATTCCTCAAAAAATCAAGGATAGAACTACCATAGGATCCAGCCATCCCACTGCTGGGTATTTATCCAAAGAACTTGAAAACACCAATGAACAAAGATACATGCACCCATGTGTTCATTGCAGCGTTATTCACAATAGCCAAGACTTGGAAGCAACCTAAGTGCCCATCAAGGGACGAATGGATAAAGAAGATGTGGTATATATACACAATGGAATACTACTCAGCCATAAGAAAGGATGAAATCCAGCCATTTGTGACAACATGGATGGACATTGAGGGTATTATGCAAAGCGAAATAAGTCAGAGGGAGAAGGTCAAATACCGTATGATTTCCTTCATTAAGTAGTAGATAATAACAACAATAAACAAACACATAGAGACAGAGATTGGATTTGTGGTTACCAGAGGGGACGGGGGGTGGGTGGAGGGTGAAAGAGATAATTCGGCACATGTGTGTGGTGATGGGTTGTAATTGGTATTTGAGTGGTGAACATGATGTAATCTATGCCGAAATAGAAGTATAACGATGTACACCTGAAATTTATACAATGTTATAAACCAATGTTACTGCAATAAACAAAAATTAAAAAAAAAAAGAATTACTGTTCAAATATGATCATTCACTCTTAGTTTCCTCCCATGTCAACTCAGACAGCTGCTCCAAAGGATGCTATAGGTATGATAAAATGGCTATGTTTAAAAGAGTCCTCATATTTTGGAAATACATACTAAAATTTTTTCACGTGAAATAATGTGATGAGTCGAATATATGTCAAGATAATTGGGGAGATGGAGTGGTTTAGGGCAGGAAGTGAGAGTGAAGATGAAACAAGATTGGCTAAGAGTTGGTCATTTTTAAAGCTGGGTGAAGGGTCTGTGGGGTAAATCCCCATGCAACAAGATACACTGTAAAACATCACACAATCCCCAACCCTGTGGCACATCTCTCTTAGGTAATAGTCTGGCTCTCAGAGACCCAAAAGCTTAGCTAAAATAAAGAAACAATAAGGATGGGATCCTTATGAGTGATCTCACTCATAAATAGAAGATAAAAACAACAACTAACAATCACATAGAGACAGTGATTGGATTGGTGGTTACCAGAGGGGAAGGGGGGAGGGAGGAGGGTGAAAAGCATGATTAGGCACATGTGTGTGGTGATGGATGGTAATTAGTCTTTGGGTGGTGAACACAATGTAACCTACACATAAATTGAAATATAATGGTGTACGCCTGGTTATAAACCAATGTCACTGCAATAAAAAATAAAAAAATAAAACAAAATAAAAAATAATAATAAAAAATAAAAGCAAGGGCTCCCAACTTAAATAAACAGAATGGGACTCCTGTTTTAATTGGTATGTAGAAGCTTCCAAAAGTCTTCAAAATTCCAAAATAGCTTCATTGAAAGACTTGTTGCAAAAGGCGAGTAAAAAAATTAAAGATATAAGAGTTACCTAAAAACAACCCAAAAACCCCAATAAAACTAATGTAACTCCTACAGCTTCCTTCTAACCTCCTTTATATGTGTACTTATTCTAGTAATCATCTGTCTAAATTGTCTTTACACAACTGTAAACAAAAGTCCACCAAGTTAATGACTTTACAGACACCCCTATATCTATCCTTGAAGGAGGACCCCCATCTGGGCCCCTCCTAAAGTTGATGGGACTCTGAGGGATTTTCTGGTAAACTGCTATGTTATTCTCTTAAACAGTCAAGGAAAATTAAATTTAAAATTAACAAAAGCCCTTGCCAAATTCTGGTAAATACCAGAGCTACAGATGGGATTCTGGAAAACTGGCAGAAGCTAGCTGAGGATGAAATTCATACTGGAGTCTGCTCTCCCAGGTCTCTGTCTGTAGCACCCAGCAGAAAAAGGAAAATAAAATATCTTTTTCACTCTCTGTGGGGATGCCTCTTGAGTTGAAGTGGTTGCTCAATACTGCCGGAAATATTTACATTTTGTCTCAGCTAAAAACTACAAAGTAGCTCTGTGGTCAGAAATTGGCCAAATGGCAGACCCTGGTAGAATGTTTTTAAGCCTTCTCCCTTAGGCTAAAATAAAACAATGTAACCAGAGGGAAAGAAAAGCCTTCTAAAGCCCTTGCAAAAGCATTTATGGGTAGATCAACCTATGACACCACTGAAGTTGCAACACAATTCTTTGAGGAATTGAAAGCAAGGGCCGTTATCTTACAAATCTTTGCAAAACTAGAAATGCAGCTCTAAAAGCAGTTCAAAGTTCACCTATTCCTTTTTACCATCCCCAAGCCTATCTTGTTTATCCAAAAAGGCTTGTAACTTGCATTCTTTCCCTGTGCCTTTGAGTGGTACCTGATTCATAGCAGTAATTTTGAAACAAAAGCTGTAAGATCTCTGTTTACGTTGGTCTGTATGTTTATGTTGTCTATACATAAATGTTATTTATATGTGGTATTTTTGTACCCCTGGAAGGTATTGCTAAAATTAATTTGTAAAAGAGCTCTATTTAATTGGCTTAAAGAAAATTAAGCACTTATAGAAATCAAATTCTCAGGAATGTAGTAGAAACTAACTCAAATGAATTTCAGGTTCATATGATCTGGGAAAATATTCTCTATTAAAGCTAATTTAGGGCCAGCCCTATGGCTTAGCGGTTAAGTGCACAGGCTCCGCTACTGACGGCCCGGGTTCGGATCCCGGGCACGCATCAACACACAGCTTCTCCGGCCATTCTGAGGCTGTGTCCCACATACAGCAACTAGAAGGATGTGCAACTATGACATACAACTATCTACTGGGGCTTTGAGGAAAAAAAAAAGGAGGAGGATTGGCTATAGATGTTAGCTCAGAGCCAGTCTTCCTCAGCAAAAAGAGGAGGATTAGCACGGATGTTAGCTCAGGGCTGATCTTCCTCACAATAAATAAATAAATAAAGCTAATTTAAATTTGTTGGTTTAATTAAAAGTGACATATCTTTAGAGTTATCAGCATTAAATATAATTGTTTTGTTCTACCTAGGCTTACTAAAGGTCAAACGAGTTCATGTCATTTCTTATAAAATTTGTCAGCAAGCAAAATCGCTTGGGTTGATGGCTGACTTTGTCTAATGTCTCACGAAGTTTTTGTGGGTACTTTAAACATAATTGTTAAGAACAAGTAAATTAAATAGATGTAAGTAGGATAAAAAGTTTTTATGTGAACTTTTTAAATAGTTTTCCCAAATCTTTTTGGTAACTTGTGACTTTAAAGTGTTGCTAAGTTAAGTTAAATGATGAGTTAAGTTAAATTCATAGAATATACAGATCATTTTAAATAAGATAAAATACTGAAACATTAATTACTGAACATAGGTTTATCCACATTTTGCTTTACAAAGGAATTAAAGACATTTGGGCCTATTAGTAGACATGTGTTGTGCCACACTGAGAAATTTACTATGAGAAAGCACGTTTCCAAAAACTATCAAAAGTATTTATAAATTTACCAAGCCACAGAATGATAATATAAAAGACAGTTCATAACTGTTTACTTCTTTATTTTCACTAAAACACTGAGGTTTTTAAGAGTTAAAAAATTCTGATAGGCCTCAGCCCTGTGACACAGTGGTTAAGTTTGACATGTTCCACATCAGTGGTCTGGGTTCATGGGTTCGGGTCTCGGGCGTAGACTTACACCACTACTCCGACATTCTGTGGTGGTGACCCACATACAAAATAGAAGAAGATTGGCACAGATGTTAGCTCAGGACTAATCTCCCTCAAGCAAAAACAAAAAAAGGAAGATTGGCCACAGACGTTAGCTCAGGGTGAATCATCCTCACCAAAACAACAACAACAACAACAACTAATATATGTGATATAAACTACCAGAGGTAATAAGGAAAACATCTAAACATCTCTGTATGCTAGGGAAGTAGGATATGTGTTTTCGGTAAGAGAAGTTATGAATGGAGATGCATTTTCTGAGGGAAAAGAAAGTAATTTTGTCCTAAAGTGAGGCTGGTTATTTCAGGATGGGGAGGAGGAGAATAAAGACTAATTAAATAGAAAATTGGGAAGAGAGTAAGGGAGAGAGAGAATCTTGCCTTGTGTAAAGTTGGCTAAATCAAATGAATTTATTATAAGGGATATAAAATTAAGCTTTAAAATCAGTAATGTACTTATGTAACACTGGAACATAATTTTCTTTCATCTGATAAAAGGACAAAGTTTTCTTAGACTATTAGT